TGTTTGAAAATAAATAAATAAATAAATAAATAAAGTGCTCGCAGTCAGTTACAGCTGGCCTAGCCAAAGCAACTTGAGCACTGAGGATGAAGTCTAGCTAGTTAGCTTAACCTGCATCAAATAATTATTATTCAGTTAATTCTGCTCCAAAACATGTGCTGTACTGTAAAGAAAACCCCAGTAATTGCAGTAGTCTCAGAGCTGTCTGGGCCTGGGCTTCTGTTTGTATATACGCAAAGTTTAAGTAGGGAGCTAAATCTTATTTTGGGCAAAAAGAAAGAGAAGCATTTGAGAGAGGGAGGTTTGGGGTGGGAGGGCACCTGTTAGCAAGGTAATAGACTCCTGAAAGGAGGCTGATCGTTCCTTTTTCTTTTCTCTTTAAATGAGACCATCGAAAAGACGCCTTTGCATCTTTAACCAATGCATTTTTAACCAATTATCTTACAGTTTTATAACAAATTTTCAAATACAGTGGGAAGACGGGAATTATTATCACTTCAGTCTCTGCCTGGATCTTAACAAAAAGAGAACATCCTGATCCATTACTTCTTTTCATTTATTAATTTAGCAATGGCTCCTTCATTTCTCAAAAACTTAGGAGTATTAATCTCAGTCTACAGGTTACTTTCTACAATTTTCCAACTCAATCAAATTCTATTTGGAGGTGAAAGCAGTGGATTTTTAGGAAAGTGAAGTTCCTTGGGAGGGCCATATTTTTTTATAGAATTAAAATAGGAAACGCAGTGAAAAACTATTAAGCTGACTGGTACCCTGCTTCTGCTTTCTATAATTACTCCTGCTTACTTTGGTCTCACTTTTATTGCTTCACACAGATTAATCTGAACTAGACATTTCCATCACATACATCCTTAAACAGCTAGGTGGGATCAATGAATTATTCTTCAAGGTTTTTGAAGCTCCATTTAGACTTTCACAACCACTAACGTAGCTCCCGAAATAAGCAGAACTGATATCCTTTTAAGCTGAGCAGTTTTCTATACATTTTATCAGCTTAAGTTAAATCAGCATAACTTAAAGATTCTAAAAATAGACTAGCAATGGAGTATTAATTCCTATTAATTCCTATCACAGCAATAACTTATCATTTCTATTTAGGCCCGCTGCATTTTAAGTCTTTTTCTTAAGTAAATATTTTCTATAGCCATTTATTTCTGTTGGATTTTTTTTTCTGCTGATATTTATAAATTATTACTTTTATTATTATTATAATATTTATTTAGCATACAGCATAAAGCAACCTGGTAAAAAGTTTGGGGAAATTGGAAGTGGTAGAAATATGCAGCATTTTCTCTTTACTCATGAATATTTCAGAAGCATTAACATTTGAATGAGCAAAAAACACAGTTACTATTCCTGTATGGTTTTATGCTTTTTATTCCATAGAAACCTAGTGTTCCAGTGAACGCACAGTGCAAAACATTAAGGAACATAGTTGTCTTTAAAATAATTGCTTCAATACACTAGCAATTCAAGGGCAGAAAATTGTAGAAGAGTCATATTTTTTTTTCTCAAAGACATACTTTTTAACTTCCATTTAAAAGAAATAAACAAATCAAGGTAGGTAATTTCTTTTTAAAACTTAATCAGTTTTCCATAGCACCTTTTTCCCTTAGATACACTTCATGTGTTTAGCTGAATAATACAGACTAGTTTACTGCTTAAACCAGTATTGTGACTCACCATCAAAATTGCTTTTATATGGCTCCAATTACTTGAAAAACAAAGAAAAATACTTTTTTTGCTTTACATAAAGGCTGAAGCCATAGAGTTTCATCTTCACAGCATACCAGTACTTAACACACATCTGCGATATCAAAAAGTTAACAGCAGAATACGTTTATTGACATTAAAACATATTATCTATGGGTAAGGTGATTCAGGAGTCTCTCCACATGAACTCCCACATTGTGAGCTTGGAAAGAAAGGGAACAGGTATTGGCTTCTTAAGGAAATTACTGTCTTTAGACTTCCAGTACATTAACCATTTCTTAGCTAATCTAATTAAAATCAACCAATCAGTCACTTAATGGAAGAACTTGCCTTTGGTGGCTAACTTCCATCGTGCTTTAGAGGGAAGTATAAAGAAGTGGCCACCAGGTAACTTTGGCTGTTATCTAGAGGCCCATCTTGGCAGGGCAGCAGAGCAGTCTCAGGGCCTCTGACCATGCCCATGTGCTTTCCAGGTTGGGCTGCTGCTGGTGGGAACGGGGCAGCAGCTCCACAAGCGCACCCAAAGCACTGCTCCTCAGCAAGGGCACACGGACACCCAAACCAGCGCTCTGAGCCATGTGAACGATGGGGACATTCAACCCCGGACACATATTTGGTCTTCTCCAAAGTCAAGCACCAAACCACCCACAAGCAGTGTGGACTGACACCAACTATTTTCGTCTACCGATCTCCAGAGGTGCCAAGTTTCTTTGTGCCCTAAAAAATAATAGTATATATTTGTCATACAATTTATTTTAGTTGTTGTAGCTGTAGACATTTTATATATATATAAAAGGATATTAAATCTTTAAAATTTTGGCTTCAAGCCTTAGTGAGAACAATGCCTTGCAACGGGAATTTCCATGGGCTAATTGTAGGAATTTCTAAACATTAGTCTTCATTGCCTTTCACTTTTGTATGGAAATTTGTTTCTTGCAACTTGTAGAGAACATGGTGAAATCACACACAATGGGCTAGAGGGCTTTGAATTCAAGCCTTCCTTGAACCCAGTCCAGCCAACACGGCCACACACTGGGATCTGAACATTCAAAGGTAGATGGACAAAGTGCTAGACATAATAACTAGTAACATTTAATTTCTGTTACCTGCAGAAGTTGCTATTGTTTGCTCATTAGAAATGTAGTTAAAGGTTTGGTTTTAAAGTTAAGAAAAGCAAATTTTATTTTCTATCTCTATAATAGTCATACTGGGTATGTATGTCTTCTCCTGTCAATCTGTCCTGCTTCTTCCAGCATTTCACGTTCAAGATTCTTCCTACGCCTTTATCAAAATTTACTATTATTCTTTTCATGGGGACCTTTCTTTTACCACTCACCTCCGAACTTAATGAATACACCAACCATAACAGGAGTTTCAAATTCTTAATCCCCGCTCCAAGAACATCCCCAATCTCATCTGTATTCCTTATACTCTTCTGCATGCATGCAGGCACATCCAAATATTCTGATATCTAATATGTATCCAAAGTTGTATCTTAGACTTTGGCATGACAGTTGCTATAATTTCTCTCAAGATCTTGACATAAGTAGCATATCATAATCTCTTTTCCCCTCGTTTTTTATCTACCTTAGACTACTTCCTCTTCAGATCAACTAATTAGATAAAGCCAGTACTTTTAATTGTTAAATCACAGGTTTATCTCTTTCCTTGACTGCTTTGGCCAGCTTCCACCTTATGAATCCTATCTACCAGCTGAAATGCAACAGCCAGAACTGATCCAAGTTAATCAGTGTGATATATATAGCTGTTTTTAATTTTAGGATTAAGCAAAAAGTTCAACAACATGTTCAAGCTTCCTTGCAAGCCTGAGCACTAATCACAAAACCTAATTAAGCTCTCCACAATAACACATATGTCTGCCTCTCACCACAAAGTTGTTGCTCTTAATTGAAGCAAAAAGACTGTGAGTCTGAATAATGTAAGAAAGATAAAGCAACTTTTGAAACCTGTCTAAAATTTGTCCATTCCCCTATCTTAAAGTAAATCCTCTCAAGTTCCCCAGGATTTTCTACTGAAGACTACATTAACTGATACTACATTAGCTTTAAACATTGCCAGTTCCCTTTGCAATTCTCTTTATTACTTTGTAAATGACATAAATTGAGTATACGTCAGTGTAGTACATATTGGAACTCTCATCTCCTACAATAGAAAACAAGCATGTATTGAAAAGTAGGCTATATACGATAGTTTCTAACTTACAGTACTTCAACTTTTGCCAAGATTATGCAATTAAAACCTCATTACTTAAATGCTCGCAGAGATCAGCCTAGCTGATGATGATGTCAGCCTTACTAAAAATGCTAATTCTTTGCATCCCACAGGGGAGAAGTGTCAGTGAAACTTAAAAATACAACGAGGCTTTTTATTCCACGTCACTGTGAAATCAAAGTGTCAAAAGCTTATAGAATTCAGTTCACCATGCATGTTATATGGGAACACTGAAAAAATGTATAGCAGAATTAACCAGGAAGCTCACATTTGAAAACAAACCAAATTATTATTATTTTTTTTGCTCAAGTTCAGGAATAAGAAAATTAGATATCAAAACCCATCCAAATGTGAAATAAAGTGAGCTGTAAAATATTATCTGTTTCATTACATTAAATCCATTCATTACTCACTCTTAAGAACAGCATCTTCATATCTGACTTTTAGACACAGGGTCAGAGTTAACTTAATACTCATTAATCCACAGTCAGAGCACAAAAGGCAATTTAATATTTTAAGGTTGAGGTGCTGTGTCATCTCAGTAGTTTTCTGAAAAAGTTTGCTCAAGTTTTTGCCATCTCATCCAGCAAAACTGCAGATTCTGGGAACAGACCATTGTATTTCT